TCGAGAAGATCAATGCCAGAGGAGAATGAGCTGAAATTGCAAGAGATGATACCTAGAATGCTTCAGGTCTAAATTTGAATGAAAAAAATGGAGAAAAAGTACCTTTCAAATTGGATATAGAGGAATTGACTTCTATAAATCCTATGTTGTACCTTTTGGATCCAATATCCGAAGCAATAGACAAAAAAGACGGAGGAGCCAGTGACTTTTGAACAGGCACTGAAGCATAGACATTAGCATACTAAATTGAATTAGAAGAAAGATTGGCCTGTAGTAGATTGAGGCATTAATGCCTGCAGATGAGAGTGATTCACTGTCATCCCAATGTCTGAGTGGGTGCCCTCTGAAATAATACTGGTCACTGGTCATTGTTTTTTTGCCGTTTTTGAGATGCTTGACCTCGCTTAATGCCTCTTTTGAGAATTGGCACTTTGGCAGGGGTAGCTGCTCAAGCTTACATTGAGCGGGACGGGTGCTGGCTTGGATGGCAGAGCATTCATTGGGAGTAATCATGGTGCCTGTAACAACCAAGAGTTAGTTACTATAGAGATGATGATGAGGGAATGGTTACCCTTTAGGCTTCAACAAGTTAGTTGTGAGGATACAACAGGAGGACTCGCTGAGGAGTCTCCTTGATCTATTGGGGTATATATACTACTATAGGTGGTTTGTACATCTGTACTATACAGTTGATGAAGGCAGTGGCTGATGATGTCATGGGGCACAGCCCATGTGACTATCTCCACTGCATAAGAGACTTGTAGCTAAGAATAAAGGAAAGCAGTGCAGCGCGAGAAAGTGGAGTGTGAACAGAATGGAAAGTGCTGCATGGTACAGTGTGTGAAAACTACAAAAGAAAGTTAAAGTGTAGAATGAAATTCAAAGGTCCAAAAATTGTGTATTGTAACACTACCCCCCTTCTAAGGCTCGACTTCCAGGCTAGACCAAGTACCGGAGGTAGTAGTTCAATATTTGGGCATAGGTTGAAAAAGGGAATTAAAAAGAGTTGAATACATGCCTCTAAGCTTCCTAGGAGCCGAGGGATTCTTAGAATAAAATTATTGAACAGCATTGCAGGAATTGTTCAGATGGGCTTCTGGTTCCATTGTGTTCAATTGAGAACTTCTGGGAAGTGTCTAGCCACTTTCTGAGAGCTAACAGGGACAGAACTAGAGTCCAGTATGAGTAACTTTATTATCAGAGAGTACAGAATGTGTACAGTACCTAGAGTCCAGTATGAGTAACTAAAGAATAGGAATCCTGGACTCTGCAATACTAGTCCGAAGTTTTGTAAACAAAGGTAAACAAATCAGCCACAAAGGCGAAATTATAGAATGCTCAGTGAATACTGAACAATAGAGCAAAAAGAATAAAGAGGAAAGTGATTTAGAAAGAAGGGAAAATAGATAGCACAACTAGGTGCAGAATCACCAAAACTAACACATTGTTCTGTCTTTATCTCCATAGCCCTTCCATAGGACTAGGAACTCTAATTTTCCACGCTTCAAGTGTGCATCCACCACTCGTTCAACTTTGAACTCTTCTTCACCTTCCTGGGTGACTACAACCGGTCCAGGCCGTTCTACGCACTGTTCTGGCAGCGGCCCTTTGTAGGGTTTCACATGGCTTATGTTGACCGTGGGTACTACCCTCATTCGTTTTGGGAGTTCCAGCTCCACTGCATTGGATTTGACTTCGGTAAGGGCCAATCCACTTTTTGGTCAGTTTTCTAGACTGCAGGTCTTTTAACTTTAAGTGGTCAGTGTCTAACCAGAACCAGGTTGCAGACTTGCAGACCTTGTAGTCAGGGGCCTTAGAGCGTCTACGCTCTGCCCTGTCTCTCATCTACTCTGCAGTTTTGAATAGCGCCTTGCACGTTTCATCTAAGACAGATTTCATGTCTTTGGCCATGTTCCTAGCAGCCTCGTTCTTGCTTTTGCCAGGTTCCACACCCATTCTGGGGAGGTATGACCTTGTAACCTCAAATGGTGCTTTCCCTGTAGCTGATGACTGTTTGATATTATATAAGAACTGGGCTATCTTTAGCCACTTAGCCTAATCTGTCTGCCCATCATTAATAAATATATGGAGGTATTGCTTCAATTCCTGATTGAGCCTCTCCGTTTGTCCATCGGTTTGCGGGTGGAACACCATTGATAGTTTAGGTTTGATGCCCAGCATTTGGCATAATTCTTTTGTAAATTCACTAGCAAATTGGGGGCCCCTATCGGAGATAACCGTTTCTGGTAATCTGTGGGTAGACCATACAAAATCTTTAAATAAATCTGCTGTACCAGTGGCAGTAATAGTTTTGTTGGTGGGAATGAATACCACTTCAGAAGCAATCTACTACCACCATTACTGAATCATACCCATTTGATTTGGGTAGATCTGTCGTGAAATCAACCGATATGTCCTGCCGGGGACCAGCTGGTATCAGATTTGGCATAAGTTTACCGGTAGGCGGTTGATGCGAGTTCTTTGCCATGGCACAGCCCAGACAGGATTTTACATATTCCTGTACATCTTTGACCATGCCAGGCCACACATAGTTTCTGGAGATCAACTCCATTGCCACCCAGGGTGCCCAGCCACTGGAGTGTTGTGACGTCTGTCTATTGCCTTGATCCTTGCGGACTCAGGCACATAGATTTTGTCTTTAAAATGGAAGAGCCTGTCTTCCCATAAATAGTGTTCATTGCCATCAAGGTGCACATTCTCTTCTGAGGAGATGTCTTTCTTGAAGACTTCTAGAAGTTCAGAATCCTGCCCAATTCAAACATTGGTGACCCTGGATTGATCTATCAGGATGACACCTTTGTTGTCATCTTTGATGTCATTGGCATGATCTTCTCTTCTAGATAAAGTGTCTGCTTTCCCCATAGAAGTTCCAGGCTTATGAATTAACTTATAATTTAACCTTGACAAGGACACCACATAGCGGGCCTGTCTTTGGTTCAAGTCTCGGGCTGTCATAAAATACTCCAGATTCTTAAGATCAGTCCAAATTTCAAATTGGTGCCTAGCACCTTCTAAGTAGTGCCACCAGTGCTCTAAAGCTCTATTGATGGCCAGCATCTCCTTGTTGTAAATTTGATAGTTGCGCTCTGTAGGCGATAAACTATGCAATAAATAGGCATAAGGCCTCCAAAGATCATCAGGGCATTTGATTGATAAAACAGCCCCAGTAGCAAAATCAGAAAAGTTGGTTTCTAGCCGGAACTGATTGTCTAATTCTGGAAATGCTAATATGGGCGCTGTTGTAAATGCCTGTTTAAGCTTATCAAAAGCTTCTTGTTCTTTGGCGCCCCAGTGCCAAACAATGTCCTTTTTAGTGAGATTGTTCAATAGTCTCATTATCTTTGCAAAGTTTTCAACAAACTTTTGGTAGAAATTGCCTAAGACAAGGAAGGCCCTAACTCCTTTAATGCAAGTAGGTTCAGGCCAATCCAATATAGCTTGAACTTTCTCAGGATCCATCCTGATTCTGTTCTGGCCAATTATCATACCGAGGAAGTCTACTTCCTTCACATTGTCCAACTTTGTAAATATTAATAAATTGGCAATGTAAATGACGACACAGTTTTCCATATCCGCAAAGATCTTGTTCATCATGCTCTGGAAGGCCGCCGGTGAATTGGTCAACCCAAAGAACATAATGAGGGGCTCAAAGGATCCTCGGTAGCACGTGAACGTGGCCTTCCAAGCATCTTCTTCCTTGATACGTACATTATTGTACCCCCATCTGAGATCCATCTTTGTTAAGATCTTGGCACCAGCCAACTTGTCCACTAGCTGACTGATTAAAGGCAGTGGATACGTGTTTTTAACTGTGTACTCATTCAAGTAACAATAGTCCATAATCATGCGCTTCTTATCATCCTTTTTAGGAATGAAGAACACCGGGGATGTTATAGGGCTTTTGGAAGGTCTGATGTAACCCTTCCTAAGCTGTTTGTCTATGAAACTTGAAACCTCATCTCTTTCTGGAGCAGAGAAGGGAATCATGTGTCCCTTTTTTGGTTTGAACGTGTCCTTCAAATCTATTGCATGGTCCCAAGGCTTAGCCTCTGGGAAGTGCTCTGACTTATGTTTTGAAAAGACTTTCCAGAAGTCATGGTACTCATTGTTGTTGTCAATCTTTTCCAAAGATCTGAGTCCATAAACGTGACCAGCATCTATCTTTTCAAGGCGCTCAGTTTGACGGACGTGATATGGTTTACCCAAGTTTTTACACTCCTGAGGGCAATGTGACAATGTGACAACCCCTGTCTGCCAGTCAATCTCAGGATTGTGTTTAAATAGCCAGGTCCAGCCCAAGATTAAATTAATCTTCCCTAGTTGGGTAGCTTTGGCGGTGACTCGTTCTCTGTGTCCTTGGTACTCGACAACAAAAAAACATTTGTGCATAATGCAGCCACCTGCGTTAAGTGTACCATCAACATTATAGACGGGTATAGATACATCTAATTTTACAAGGGGGAGCCCAATTTGCTCCGCCCAAACCTGATCTATGAAGATGCCGTTAGTGCATGAATCAAGCAGTGCGCTGGTTGGGTGTACTGTGCTCCGGGCAAGGTTTTCCACACCAACATCTAAATGGATCTTTTTTTGGAATAAATATGTGCGCATTAACACATGCCTTGGGATTTCTGTGGAAAATGGCTCCAAAGAAGAAGAAGAAGAAATATCAAGAGAAACATGTTTTTCTATTTTATAATTTTCTATATTTTTATTTTTATTTTTACCAGAATCAAGCACCCTAGTGTTTGTCTTGCCGGGGCCACACTCCAGAGGAGACGGTGGTGCAGCGGTAGTATCATAAATATTACAGTTACAATTCTTCATACAAGTACATACTTCAGATAGCAAATTAAAAAAAATATTTACAAATGTGAGAGCCACCCCCTTTCCTTTATTGCTCGTGCAACACCCCGGAGCAGGGGCCATCTTGTTGTGGTTTACTTCATTTCTTCGAGGAGTGAAGGCACCCATGTGACCTAAGCTCCAAATTCTTTTCCCTGGGCTTTCATCTTGTTGACCTGTTGGTCATAGAAGAAAGCTCGGATTTCGTCATACGAATGACCGGCCAGAGTAGTGAGCCAATCATCTGGTTTCTCTGCTTCTAATTGGCGCGCCTGGCACCCTTGGTTATTTTTTTGGTGAGCAGTCTGCACCCCGTTTCTGCAATCTTGGGACATGTGTCCCTCTTGGCTGCAATTGTAGCAGTTCCCCTTGAATCTGCGCATTTGTTCACTTTGGACCATGCTGATATCCATAGGGGCTCCCTGCCCTGGTTGCAGCCCGAACAGCTTGAACCCTTGAGAATGATTATGTTGGTTTGATAACCCAGGGCTCCTCTGGGAATAGTTGTTTTTGGTGGTGGATCCGCCACTGAATTGCATTTTGTAGAGCTTTATGGCCCTACTAATCTTTCAAACCTTTTCAGTAGCTGCTGAAAGGTTCTTGCTCTGCATATCTTGTATGTAAAGCTGTTGTGCAATGGCTGGTGGCACATTGTGCTCCAACAGCTCCACCACATGTTCATTTTGTAGGCCAGGAACCGAGTAACAAAGTCATTTGTCCTCATGTTTCCTTGCTTGAAGTACTTATTTGCTGGCGCGCCTAGTCACGCTCAGCTTGTGGTTTGAAATATTTTTCAATTTTAACTTTTAACTCGTCCCAGGTAGGCCAGTGACCAGCGGTATAGCACTCCTGGAGTCGTACTTGGGTGTATCAACCCACCACAGGTTCTTTTAATCTTGATAGCACAGCTGTTGCTATCTCAAAATCATCGGTGAACGCATCCCAGTTTGCCTTGATCCAAATTTGAAGCTTGATCCACCACTTGGCAAATCATACCGGGTCTCCTTTGAAAGTGCCGGGGTCAGCAACAATCTCGACTTTCTTGTTGAATTTTCACTCAACCGCTTCAGGGGGGTTTGCCTGAAGCTCAGCGAGCTGTGTGGTCAATGCCAAAACCTGTGCCTGAATATTGTGCAACAAGGTGTTGACATTGGGTTGGGTGGTTTGCAACAACATGTTGACTTGTTCTCTTTGTAAACATAAAAAAACGTAACTGGGGGTCCCCGCTTGCTGTCTGCAGGTCTACCTCTTCCCAGCTGAGTATCGGATCTCAATCTCCAACTACCCATACTATAGTATTTGAAAATGTATATAAAAAATAAATGTAATAAACCCTGGTCCAAATGGTTGTCAGGTGGTGGTCCGCTTGTTAAGCTGTCAACCCTTCTCCAGACTGGCAGAGGCAAGTGCCCGGCCTGGTCAAAGGAATGTGAAGAAGAAGTTTTCTATTCTAAAACTAATCAACAGTGGTTCTACACCAACTGCTGAGCTAAAGTACTCCCCTTAACACTGGGGGCTGTGTGTAGATAATTGACTTTTCTCCTTGAGCACTACAGGGCCATCACTAGGAGCGCACCCTTCTGCTATACAGGATATTCCAAAATAATAACCCCTTAACCCTGGGGACCGTGTTTGCACAAAGTGCGAGAGAGTAGAGAGAGCAAGTCCTAATGTAACGACCTAGAGTTTGTATACTCTGGCACACAACTCAGACAAAACTATAAAAAAGTGAGGGGAGTAAGGACCGAGTTTGTTGTGGGTGAACAACAGGAGGACTCGCTGAGGAGTCTCCTTGATTGATTGGGGTATATATACTACTACAGGTTGTTTGTACATCTGTACTGTACAGTAGATGAAGGCAGTGGCTAATGATGTCATGGGGCACAGCCCGTGTGACCAGCTCCACTGCGTAAGATACTTGCAGCTAAAAATAAAGAAACACAGTGCAGCGCGAGATGAACAAAATGGAAAGTGCCTCATGGCACAGTGTGTGAAAACTATAGAAGAAAGTTAAAGAGGAGAATGAAATTTGAAGGTCCGAAAATTGTGTAGTGTAACATGTGGGGAAAGTCGCAAGTTGCTGGATCTAAAAATATGCCCAGAGCACAAATGCTATATGTATCTTTCATTCCAATTATCCAAGCAATGTTTGCAAATAAGCAAACATCCAAACTCCTGCAATACAGGGATAGATGTTTACAAGAAACATTGAAGTTACTTGCAGTTGGCTTACAATGTTCTGGGACTCAGGCTCAGGCAAGATATTCTGATTTCCCCAGTGGGAGTGTTCATGAACACCATTATAAGGACATGGGATTATTTCAGGATGAGTGTGACATTGCCTTTACATTATCCACAGATGGGGCCCAGCTTACAATGACGAAGCAGTCTGATACTTGGATATTGATTCTGATATTGCTCAACATACCTCCAGAAATGAGGTACCATTCCAACAATATTATATTAACCATGGCCATTCCAGGACCCCACAGTCCAGGAAATATTGAGTCATTTATATATCCCCTTTTCCAGGATGCAGCACAATGTAGTCAAGGTATATAGATGTGGGATGCTATAGATTTTTCCTATTTCATAAATTGCATGTACATGACTATGATTCTGGGAGATATGCTAGGCTCAGCAAAGTTAAATGGGATGGCAGGACATACTGCAAATTATGGTGATAGATTTGTTTTGGTCAAAGGGGCAAGATCCAGTCTTGAAAAAGGTGCCAAGGCTTAGTTCTACCCATTGTCACCACCAGAAAACAATAAATACAACAGTGATCATCCCATATATAACCTGTATAATCTGCCAATACAAACAGAAGAACATTATTGGGCTACAATCAACAAACTTGATGCTACCACAGTTAAAAATCTTTGTGCTAAAATTACAAGGGAGACAGGGATTTCTTGCATGCCTCTAGCAGCAGCAAGCCTGGCATTTATTCACCCTTCAGTTTTCCCAATTGATCCTTTCCATCTGTTTTTGAAAATATTGTTGCATTTATATGGGGTTTGTGGACAATCCACAGTTCACAGTCTGAACTCATCCACCTCAACATACAGAAGGCTGAAATGTTTGGTAAACTAGTTGCTTCAGGAATGTCAACACTGCCACCCTATTTCTGTGGCCCAGTTCAAGATCCCCACTTAAAAAGACAAGGTCAATATAAAGTCTATGAGTAGATGGCACTGTTATACTGATACATAATACCAATTGGCATTGAGCTAGGGATAAATTCCTCAGTGCTTCAGAACTTCTCCCATCTTATGGCTATAATTGAATTTTCCATGACTATCAAAGCAAGGAGCACCAAAGACTTGACCGATCTCCATCAGCTCATTAAAGTATTCTTGACTGATTTAGAAAAAAATTATGTTGGAATACATCCTGAGAAGATTTCAAGATTCCAATTGTGTATCTTCCAGTTGATCCATGTTCCTGTTCATATTAAGTGGTATGTATCACTTTGCCTTAGCTCTCAAGCTACTGTGGAAAGGACTATTGGAGAATTTGGGCACAAGATCTGTTCCAAAAAAGCACCTTTTGCAAATTTGGCTAATATTATCTATGAGAAAGAAGTCTTGAAGGCCCTCCTGAGTTGCAGACTCAACCAGGATCTAAGAAAACAACCCTATTCTTTTTCAAGGTGCCAATCAGAAAACGTGAATATAAACTTGGCCAAAGTTTCTATATTCATATAGGGGCTATCCTGTCCTGGAAACAAATTCCCTTTAATCCAAATATGCTGGTCACAAGATAGGGAAAAATGCATGTGAGCAAGAAAAATGTCCTGAACACCCAGATGAGTAAGCTACAGGGACACCCTCCTTCAAGATCACATCATTACTTTGAAGGAAATGATGCAAGTGTGGTCCCTTTTTTTTGGTGAAGCGCTTGCATTCTATGAGATTGAAGGACTTGATGGCAATACACAATAATTTGTTGTATATTATCCCCTTGTGGATGTTTAGTGCACTCTTAATGTGTGGAGAGGAAAATGGGCCAAAGATATCAAAGTTCTTCCAATTTCTTCTATAGTTGACATTGTTGGGATCTGGTATTACAATAGGAGGGTATATGTACTTCGAAAACATCCAGGGCTTGAGTGGCTAACTGAAGAAGAGCTTGAGAAACAGAATGAAGGCACACAGAACGAAGAGTAGTAGGTAAATCATTTTGTGCAAATATTGTAATATAAATGTTAATTTTGCTCAATTTATGCCAATACCTTTGCTGAGTGTAAGTTCAACATAATAGCATTGAGACTTGGTGAATTTAGATGAGGAGTTGACTTCACACCACAGTTTGACTATGGTATGACTATAAGTGGACTATACACAACTATATGTGACTATGTACAAGTCTAAATCTCCAAGGTTCCCGGAGCTGTTGTTAATTCTATGACTGTATGGTGACTACATGTGACTGTTGGACTTTGACTGCGTGTGACTATACCTCGACTTTGTGTGACTTATCCATGACTACCTGTGACTATCCATGACTCTATGCGACTTAGCTTTTTTACTGAGTGTGACCGTTACAACGGGACCTAAGTTAGTAATTCCTGATCCCAGAGGCCCAATGTGCAGTGAGGTGGTTTCCTGAACTCGAGCTTGAGCACTTGAGCATCGCCTATACACCTTACAATGGCCTCACCATTTACACGCAACGAGTACGCTCTCCGTTATGATACTGCCTTCACTTTATCGTGACTTTTCAGAAATATCTATCAGCATAGAAATAGCAACCAGAGCGGCAGACCATTTTACCCGGTTATACTATACCACCTACGACTCTATAACGCGAGTCAATGACCTACCCAAGTTTTATAGGCCTACCTCATCATTGACGTGGAATGGGACGCCATTCCAAGGTGTGGATGGCATAGAGAAGCTTATACAAGGCATGCCGAGCACGAAGCATGAAGTGCAGTCATTCGATTGTCACCCCATACCCGGTTCGTGCATCCCCTCTCTGTTTGCCTGGCTCGCTAATCGTCCGAATAGGCAGCCAACCACCTTCCCTTCTGCTGACAATATCAGGGAACGTTACCCATGGACGTGGTCCTGCTGGCAATCCCACCGCGATTCTCAACAAATCTCTCGACGGACAACCACGAGTTTTCTCTCAAACTTTCATGCTTGTACCGGACCCCACAACACCCCCCACCAAAGTGGGGGAGGTTGCTAAATACTTTGTCAACGCGGACGCGATGAGATTTGTCGGGTAAATTATTTACTTTGCCGGGTGAGCATGTACGTTACATTTGGACTTATGGGTTCGTATCCATACCCTTCCCTCCAACAGGAAATTTGTTAATTCGAGATGGAGCATGTAATTAAGCACATAGCGAACGGCGATACGTACTCCAGTATTTAAAACTCTGGCATTCCTAAGCACAACACAGAAGTCTTGGACTTCATACGATACAAAATAGATGTTCAGCGAATTTGAATCTTAACCAAATGTTTGATTCTACAGGACAAGTCACATTGAATGTACAGTTGAAGGAATGGAAATAACATACCGAGCGTGCACTGCGCTTAACCTTTGATAACCGCTACTCATCCGGTTTTTCATACTTATTGAATAGTGGCTCTATTTTCTCTTGTCGTTTGCTTTTGCTGATCTTGTTCATCAACGAAATCGGAATTTTTTTCCATAGCTTTTGTAAGCGCTTGTAAAACAAAAAATTGTTGGATCATAGACTAAAAGTTTACGATACAAAGTGGTATTCAAACTTCATTGTTTCCTTCTTATATACTTGCTTCACTATTTTGTCTATTTCCCTCATCTGTTCTGATTACAGTTGAGGTGTTGATAATAAATCTATGTGAAACTCAGCCGCTGCCCAAGAGGCTATAGAAACGACTGAGGTATTTCTATACTAAGCCCCCTACTACTTATAGTCGGAGGTGCTACTCGCTACAGTATAATGACTCCTAGGAGAACAATGGTGACTCCATGGAGTGGTGACTATGCTCCATGGAGAACAATGGCTGCTTCGGCAGAGACCGGGTTTATCCGGTTTTGTCAGTTGACTACTCCTAGTTCCTAAAAAAATAACTATAATAACTGTAATTATTATGGGCTTGTTCACAAAGACAAATAAGACCTTCTAAAGGAAAGATTCATGCAGAAAAAGTCCCAAGGTGGCATCAAAATCATATTGTGAGGGTACATACTTGTGGTAATATACAGTCTTGCACCGGAGAGAAAGAATGGTGTGATACACCTCAGACCCTGCTTTTCGTTAGTAGTCATACAGACCCGGTTCCTTTGTAGAGCAAAACTGGTCTGTGAGACCCAGCATCTGTGCTTGTAATCTAATTAGAAGCTAAAAAAAGACATTTCCCTCCTCAAATGGCTCCCTGCATCCTCCTTGTTGTTGCTGAGCCTCTGCACAACACTGGTCGAGAGCCTTACTACAGATAGGCTCTTGGCACTGATACTATGGTACTCTTCAGGTGAAGTCGATATTCTCATGCTCTTTCTCTCTTTTCTTTTCTTCATCTACATAGCTATGGACTTGGGCATCATTTTTTCAGCCCCTGAAAAATTCACGATAAAAGAAAAATGCAGGTGCTAGTTGAAATCCTGGGCAAGGAAGCAAAGCGGTGTCGGTTGCTAGATAAGATGGAACAACTCTTAAGTCAGACACAGCCAGAGTCACAGCAACCTGCAGGAGTCAATCCTACAGGTGGAGCCATTCATCAAGAATTAACACACCCTGAAGAGTCCTTGCGTGACAGCCTATTTTCTGACAACAATGACACTGCAATTCCTGATCTTTACAGCCCATCTAGTGAGCCACAGCCCTCCAAATGTCACATTCTCCCTGACAAATCCACAAACCGACTTTTTGCCAGCTGGAAAGCTTTGTTACCCCACTTTATAAAGCCACAAAATGCATACATGATGAAGACACTTGGCAAGCCCTTGACGGTATTCCACCAGCCACTGTCAGCATGCACTAATACCAATTGTATTCACAAGCGGACATTGATCCTTTGTCTTTTTTTTTGGCCGTACGTCCTTGCATTTCCCTCATTGTGTGATTCCCTCTCATCAAACCCAGATTTTGCATTGATGGATGTTTTGAGCTGTCTGTGTTCCAGCCTCCCCCAAGTCCTCATATATCACAGATTATTTCCCACAGTGCCATCACAACATTGCATGGCAGTTTCAATCGGCTTATTAACATTCTATCAGGCCCTGTTTGAACAATCTTGCAATGTCATCAACACCCTGACCGCTGCTTTGAATACTCACTACATATGCAGAGGCTTCAGAATGACCAACTCAGAGGTATGTACATTATTTAATGCCACCTACAAAACATCAGAACAGTTACCTGCAGAGGCTTCGGAATGACCACCTCAGAGGTATGTACATTATTTAATGCCACCTACAAAACATCAGAACAATTACCTCACAGGGTGAAGCCATTCAAGAGCCTTTTCTGTGTAGCCTTGGACATGCCATTCAGTGGTACGACATCCTACAAGTCAAAGTTGAGCGCCAAGTGGAGGTTGCGGTCCAGCACTGTTGTGATCTTGTGGTAGCCACTCAGGAGCCTCCCACCTTTCCCTTTTCACCAATGTCCTCCAGTACTTCCACTCCTACACCTCTATCTCCAACTGCACTTCCCCCAACTATCACCCCAACTATCTCTCAGCCTTTGACAAGAGGGCATTGTGCCTCCATTCTGGTCCAATACTGCCCTGCCTGCTTTGGAGGCAATTCTTTTGTAAGGCTGCTAGATGAAGGTGGAAATATCCACACCGCTACCAATGGTAACTTTCATCATTGCCATGGATGTTCTGCAGGTGATTGCCTGCAATTCTACGAGCCTGCATATTTCCTCCAGAAGTTGATCATTGAATCAACAAGGTCCAAAAGCAGATCCCCAGGGTAGTCAAAGCCCTGGTGCCTGGTGAGGCTATTGACCATTGCCAGAGCTTATACCAAGCCACAGATGGTAAGAAGAAAAAGGCAGTTGCAATTGCAATGGATAGCTTTGATAATACTGGAGTAATGGCACTTATCTGCCGTCACAATATCCCCTTTCTTTTGCCAATATTGACACACCTGGTGAACAGCAGAAGTATGCTGTAGCACTCATTCAACATCTATTTTCATTACTACCAGCTCAAGCTAACATGGTTCTATTGTAAGATGTTGGATAGTGCAACAAGAGTCCCAGCTCTCAGTTTGTGCTCCTAAGTACTTATGAGGTTCTTGAAAGCAGGTGATGCTGACACTATTTGCAGATGCTCCTGCCTCCCTCAAAAGAGGACTAGACACTGTTATATCACACAGGCTGACTTAAATCTTTTGGACAAGGCTTTACAGGTAACAAGATCCATCATAGAAAAGGACTCTGCGTCAGAGAAGACACTAGAGGCCCTTGGAAGCCTTGAGTGTGGGCACAAGTGTCTGATGAACAAAGTTGATGTCTTATGCGCGTCTATCAATGCACATGACAAGTTCCCTGAACTCAACGGCATAGACTTGGAGTTTGTTTGTACTCTCTTGAAAGCCCAAGATCTCAAAATCAATATTTGAAAATGGGCAATCAGGAGTTTTTTTGAGTGGGATAAACTTGATTGCACAGTTGGAGGGGCGCAGCAAACACTTGGTGACATTCCCTCCTAATGTAATATGGCATATTGAATTTAGTATATTAGGTATAAAGCTCCACCAGCAAACATGGCAGGCTATTTCCAAGAGGCAGCCTGCTCTTATGACTGCATTTCAGAAGTTCAATATGTACTGCAAGCATTTGCATACCCTCTATGATCTATCCTGGGCCATACCCCTTCCAACACCTCTCCCAACAAAACTCAATGATCTACAAAATGACCAGACCCTCATAGAAGATGTTTGGATATCTCCATCTGTTAGTGAGATTCCGCCTTGGTTGGAAGACCCGGATGTAGGTTATGGTATTTGTGCAGTCCTTAAATGGGATAGATGTAAAGAGGAACAATGCCGCCTGGGCATGGAGGCTGACAACATATGTCGATGGTTTGGGCAGGAACTAGCAGCAATTGAACTTGCTCTTTGCATGCCAGCTTGTATGTTTATTTGTATTAAGCCCTGTGTTCTGATTATCACTTACTCCTCACAGATAGCACATTTAAACTGGCACTGCAGCAACAGTGTAACTACTTGCATCACCTTCAAAAAAGACTAGAGGGCCCACTTGCCTCTCAAGCACGCTATGACAGCCAAGCTAGTGAAGCTATCAGGCTTGCAGCAACACTCTTAGGAGGCTCCGTCCCTGCCACTTACCACTGGATCATCCCTGACTTGCCCCCTGATGATGGTGATGGTGACCTCCTAGACCTTACTGATAATAAGGTCCTGCTCGAGCCTGAACAAGTCACTCTAGGTGACATAATCACAGAAGCATCCACTGGAGATGTAGACGATGAAGAGAATGAAGAGGCTATAGTAGGGAATGCAGAAATGGTATGGGAGATTCCAGAGGTACAGTTATATTCCCTTGGTTGTCTGCCTTCGTTCACATTTGATAACTAGAACCTTTGCATTGATACTTTTCCCATTTTGTGTCATAACAATACTGTAATTGTTGTTGGTACTATTTTCAGAAGGGTATGAGAGGCTCAAGGTGGATTTGCCCAGCAAACATTTGAAACCAGCGACATCAGTAGGCTCTCATCCTCCACTGCTCATCTTAATAACATTTGTATGAACGGTTGTGCAACACTCTTGTACTCTGAGTTCAAGTCCCCTTATACTCAACAGTGTGCACTTCTTTCTACACATGACCTACTGCATATACAATATAAAGCATCTAATGATGCTCTCTGGCGAAACATGTCATGGACATCATGCTGGGACAAGGACATATGGATAATACCCATCCATAGACCACACCCTGTTGGCCACTGGGTGTTGTGTATTGCTCATTTCTCAACAAAAGAGCTACATCTCTTTGACAGCTTTGCGGACAAGAAGGGATGGAAAGCAGATGTCAAGGTCAGTTATCATTTTTCTCTGATCTCATCACTCAGCATGAGATTTATTGCAGGATATCATGATGTTAATAATGAGGCTACATGGCCTTGCAAGTCGACACTGTGAGGCTTGCCAGATGGACACACAGGGCTGGGTTGCCAAACTTGTAGTGGTAAGTCTTGATGTACTTCTATTAACGATGCCACGCACTCCTCTTCCCCTTAGCACAAGCCACTGCAGAGCAATGGATATGATTGTGGGGTATGGGTATTAGCAGTAATTGCGGCTGTATTGCAAGGGTCAAACATGACTAATCTACAAGAGAGTGATAGACACTTTCCGACACTATCTACATATCCTTGTGCTCTCAATTCCTGTAGTATAGTCCCTATATAAGGATTCTTGCCCTCTGCTAACACCAATAATTTGGCCTTCCGGTGACATATAGCTCGAGCCCACCAAAATAAGAGGTTGTTGGCCATTTCTTGATGCCTTCAACAACTCTCCACATAACCTATTAGTCTATAAAGAGACTTCCACTGGGTTAGCAGCTCAGATACATCCATGTGAAGTGCACTCTATAGCCTAGCACAGTCTCTATCTCTATACATAGCAGCACAAGATTTCATCCTCTCATTATCCTGTCGCCAGCGCCGCCCATGCATTACATCAAAAAGATTGGAGGTGAAACAAGCCTCCTCTATTGTATCATTGGGTTCTTATATGTCGTAAAGTGGAAGGGAATTCCACTGCTCTAGGTTTGATTCATCAAGGTTGTTGGTGCTTTGCAAGGCTTCATGGAACAGATAGGAGTTGGGGAGGGCTTTTCTAGCGAGGTTAATTAACTGGTAGGGTAGAGGAGGTGAGATTGGAGTGCCCAAGTTTGTTTGTTCTGCATGAGGGGTGACTCAATTTTGTTGTTTATGGAACTTAGCATATGAGTGGGTATTCTGCTCTTGTTGTGTATCCTTTCCCTTACATATATCAGTTAGCATAGCCTTTGAGACTTTATAAGCACCTACTTTGTTGAATGATGAAGTTTAAAGGAAGAAAAGTGAGACTAATGCGTACTCAAAATTTGTATCCCACCTACAGCAGCCCCTGCACCCAAAAGCACCACTAGGTAGGAAAGTACTCAGAAAATTGATGTGGCTCTGATGGAGGGGCTTTCCTCTATCTGTTTGACTGGTTCCGGTAATATTGTAGCTAGAATTGTACGCTAGGGATATGTGTTAAAATCAGTAGGATAGATATACACACTATGATTGGTGGGACGCCTCCAACATGACTTACAATATTTGTACATTCTTCTGGTCTTCTTGTTGTGCTTGTGCTTGCCATCATCTGCCAGTGCTTCCTTGTAGCCTCACGCACCCTGCAAGCCTCATCAGCAATTTATCCTAAGTTGCCAGTGAGAATCCCTTCTGCTCTTCTAATTTTTTTCACCTCCACCAGATCCATTCCATCTACCCTTTTCAGACCACAGACTTGCAAGGTATGAAAGTCTCAAAGAGAAACCGGTCTCTATGTGCGTGTCCTCCAGCATCCTATGTCTGTATCCAGAATGCATGTTTTGTACCGTATCTATTCATCTGCACTCAAATCATCTCAGCCATCTATGGTCTTGTTTTATCTTTTAGCTTCTGCTTTGCAATCTACAAAAGGGTATTCATCTGTTCCATCTGGTAGCACACTGGTTTATCATGCACCACTCCTCATATTATCGGAAATGCATTCTCTACATGTAAGTAAAGGCTCACATATCAAGACAAAACTAACAACCTTCCTATAGAACATGTCTCCACGCAATTTAAAATTCAAAACTTGCGTTTCCACTCCAAACCCTTGCACATTAACTGCCTCTGATGTTTTGCAGGATGATGTAAGTTCAGCTGATGGTGACTTCATTGTGGCACAAGCAGGCGGAGGGCACAACATACGTGAGGGTGAGGTGACACCTACACAATTTTGAACACACATCAGAGTCACGCACCGTGATTCAGGCCTTGTTCATAATACCCAAACCTGTAGGGCCAAACTAATCCAGCCTCAGGACAATTTTCCTTCAGGAAGCCTTGATGACCCCTTCCTTTCCACACCTAATCACTCTGATCCGCATCTCTCAGACACAAGTGATCAACCTCAAACATCTAAGCCTAACAAGAAACATCAATATATTGTGATTCCTGGCCTTGTTGGGGATGGTGTCCCCAGTCTCCACAACTTGTGCACCTACAAGTCTCGTCAGCACACTCAACCTCCACTTCCACTGTCAGCTCAGCCCTCTCTACAGCCTCTTCAATATGCTGCTGTTGCCAGTAAAGTATCTCCTGAGCCAGAGCACGCACATGAGCCTCACAGAAACCCTCCACCCGTTAATTATCCATCTCTCATGTATCATCCAGCTCTCTACCAAAGTTTAGTCCCCAAGGTATGTCAAGCTAACAACACTGGGGAGTCATCAGAGGCTCTGCAACACTCTGCAATTAATACTGCAGTTCTCCCACAGCTTGCAGGCAGCAATGGTGTTAACAACACTGCACCTCAAGATGACATAGCCATTCCTGCCATTCCATATATGTGTGTCATCCCTCCTACACCTGCTAAAGGCATTGAAACCGCTCAAGAATCAGACTTGCCAAATGAGACACAGGTTGCCAATGAACTCTTTCCACCAATGGAAGACATTGAACAAACACCACCGTTGAGCATCACCCAAGTCGCTTTGGGCAGGCAATCTGATGAGACCAATGCAACTCTTCATCAGGGTTTCTGAGATCTTGATAACAAAATAAGTGCACTTTTGTACAGTACAGGAATACCTGAGTTGCAAATAACCAATCTCTGGAACATATCCCACTTGTGCAAGATCAACACTCAAAACTTCTGGAACATCTATGGTCAATATTTTGCTGTACATCAAGAAAGGGAAAAAATGAGATCTTCTTCAGAGGATCAGGTCACAGGCAACCCTTGTAAGTCATCTGTCATGGTACACATCAAAGTTCAACTTATTGTTATTGCAGCAGTAGTGATTTGTAAAGAGTGCTATATGCGCTTCAAAAAAGCATACCCAGATACATGGCAAGAGATCCTCAAAGCATTTGAAGAGGCTGCAGCATGCTCTGAGATTCCACAGACGATTGCGCAGCACTTGCAAGACTTCAACAAATTTAAAAGCAAACTTGTACAACTTGTGAGTGATTGCAATTGTTTTGGGATATTATATGACAGATCATTGCACAAGGTTGAGGCACTAGCAAATACTCATGACTTTGAGGTAGTAATGATGATGGCTGGTAGTGTTGTAAACCAAGATGCCTCTCTCACATTTGTTCATACTACGCCAGACGCTGAGAACGTGAGTAAACAAAGCCTTGTGAAATCAAATCAGGTTGCTAACCTTTTTTATAGTTTTTTCAAGACCAATGTCAAGCAAATAACAACCAGATAATGGGTAATTTCAAAGCTCACGTATAGTAAGTTGTTTAATGTGCTCATCTACAACAATACTCATCTACTCTCTCAGCAATTGTATTTTGCTGAACACAATAGGAGATGTATTTCACGACCATACAAAGAAAATGTTGCTCCCAAACATGATATAATGTTGGAAGGCTCTGAAGAGGGCAACAAAGAGGCTATTACGGAGGAGAAAAGCAATTTAGTGCTGATCAGGAAGCTGATATTGACTTAGCTTGATACATTGGTTTGTTTTCTCAACTAGGTAGACGCTCACACATTCAATATTTGCAGAGGCTCTTGGTCACAAATTTGGATGTTTCTTCTAGGAGAAGAGCAATCTTCTACAGCCAAACCAAAAGGTATATCTGACTTGGCACTCTCTGAGCACTGCAAGCTAGCCGCAATTTTGCGCGACCAAGGCCCACAACAATTGCTCTTCAAACCCGTCCCAAAGCTATGGCGTGAGTACTATTAACCTTTGTATTATGTACAAGCTGACTCCTTCCACAGCAGTTCAACCAATCAACTCCTCTGAACCTGTCATTGTTGGTGTTGCCACCCCACACGACTTTTCCAATGCTCGTGTGCCCCCCTATCAGGATCATCTTGTCCCATCTAGGCCATTGCAGGAGCCCCATCATAGGGATATGGGGTCATTGCATAAAATAAAATGTTTGAGACCCTTGGTGCTTATACCACCTGAAGTATACTATGGTGGACAGCGAGAAGGCCCTGTGTACACCACAAATCCACCTGAGCATCATTTTCCAAGCTAGCACATTGTCTGACCCTAGCAGAGTGCAACCCGTTGCCAAACGGCCCCATGGAAATGGAGAAACCAGCACAATTCCTGAGGGAGAGATTATAGGTAATCTACCGGCTCCCTAAGCTACTGCCAAGTGTATGCATTGTCCATAGTGTCCATTCTTGTCTTCTCACCATACCTATACAGTTACTATGTTTGCCTATTGTTTTAGCTGATACCGTATTAATTTGCTCTGAATATATCATCATTTTCTTGGTTAAATTTGTTGGTTTAGATCCCTCACACAAGCCTCGCATGACACTCCAAGACCAAAAAACCCCTCTGGTTGAGAGCCTACACTTGGTGCCTGCTGGGGTTGTGAATGAGCTTCAAGAAAACAAAACGAGTAGAAAAACATAGGAAAATGTCTGGAAATGTAACTACATCAAAGGAAGTAAACACTCGGACTCTACCACAATCTAGAATTCAAGAGCCTCAACTGAGGTTGACCTATAGCCTTTTGGTAACTCCTATAAAAGCTTGACATATCCCCCCACGAGCATGTAATATAATCTGGGAATTAAAAGAAAACCTCATTTGAGAGGGTGTCTGACAGACAGGTTTTTCCCTACAGAATAACCCCCTCTGTTAGTGTGTGAGAACCATTTTGAAGTGCTGCCTGTAACAACCAAGAGTTAGTTACTCTGGTGCACAACTCAGACAAGCAAAGAGTGATGAGGGGGAGTGGTTACCCCTTAAGATGTGATCAAGTTAGTTGTGGGTAAACAATAGGAGGACTCACTGAGGAGTCTCCTGGATCTATTGAGGTTATATACTACTACAGCATGTTTGTACTTATGTACTGTACAGTTGATGAAAGCAGTGGCTGATGACGTCAGGGGGCACAGCCTGTGTGACCAGCTCCACTGTGTGAGAGACTTGTAGCTAGAAATAAGAAGAAAGGCAGCGCAGCACGAGAATGTGGAGTTTGAACAAAATGAAAAGTGCTGCATGGCACATTGTGTGAAAACTACAGTAGAAAGTTAAAGAGGAGAATGAAAATTAAAGGTCCGAAAAATGTGTATCGTAACACTGCCAAGGGTGGTGTGATATGGGCATTGAATACCACTGGTTGCACATTTTTCTTTAATCTAGCTATCTTGAAGTAATTTGCAAGTCAGGTAATCTTCTTATCATATCAAGTGATCTACCTAGTTAAGACTAGTCTCAGCCATCATTATGAAATATTACTAAGTTTTACAAACAATGGGCGAGCTGTCATTCTACGCCTACCGTAACATACAATACAATTGAGATCTGCTAGGTAATATGTAACACATGCATCATTCAATTTGTTGACTATCATATGATAAAGAATGACAGCACACATAACTAATACTATACTAGAGTATAATATCTAACTAGCTCAAGATGAGCAGCTAACCATGAAACCAACGTGTTTTCAATAGCTTGTGGAGAATACACTGCTGCTTGTGAATGTCCAAATACTTTCCTAGATATAATATCAGACATATCATTATTTAGAAAATATAAAACAATCATACCTGTTCCACCATAAAAGAAGGTTTTCGATTTTGGTCTTACTAGTTGGGCCTGGGGGCATTTTGAAGAAGTCCAGTATATTGTTATATAACTGCTGGTAGTTAAAATAAAGCTACAAAAGAGCATGAGTATGATTTGATGGTATGAAGGTATACTTTACCTGGACTGCTATATAGGCTATGGACCTAGGTGTGACGGTATATATGCCTAACAGTGATGCTACATGTTCACAAGTTCAACTTTTGGCTGATACACATCTGGGGTGTTTGTACAGAGGATGCAGAGGAGGGTGATGTAAGGATAAATTTGTAGGCCAGTGGTATCAATCATGAATAGATAACACAGATATTGGCTTACTTTGAGCAATAAGGTGCTTTGGAATAACCCCTTCTCAATATCCTTGGGGTTGTACTTATAATTAGCATACATGAAGGTTGGCCACAAATTTGCTGTGACTAGATATTTGGGGTGGCAATCATGAATCTGTTCTTTGATGCTGAGAGGAAGTGAGAGTGAGAAAAAACACAGTTGAGAAAACATATATTGCATTGCTCCAATCATACTCACTAGGGCAAATAAGGCTGCCTGTGAGATTGTGCAAGAAGCCTTGCCAACTTTTGTCTAGAGGATCAAGAGTAGTAGTAAACAATGTAGGGAATAACTCTGGAAGCCACTGCACTGCCGCAGGCTTCATATTCCCAGTGTTGTCGCCTTGCGCTCCATCCAATCCTTTTTGTAACTATAATATTGTAGTTAAGAAACTATCTCAGAGAAGGCAGGGTGTAAACATACCTGCTTGTAGATGGAAGCTAGTTCTTTATTACTTGCAAAATCTTCATTCAGCTTTTTCTTGAGGGCAGGAACATAATATACAAGTTCCTTAAACCCTCTAAATGTACAATTCTTGCTATTTTTCAAATTTTATGCTGCTTCTGTAAACAGGATACAAACACTTACTCTTCACTATAGTCTTGAGGTTGCACCAAATTCTCTTTGTCATCTTGCTCATAAATTTGCCAATTGTGTTCAGCTACCATGTCACTGATAGAATCAAACAGTGATACCAGACGCCAGATCCCACAACTTTGGTTGAACCAAGAGTCAATACTGACATTTTTTCCTATCAATAGCATGTATTAGCTAACTGTAAGTCCAATTACTCGCCTTTTAGTTTTCAAGATGCCAGATTTTAAGACCTGTCTATGTGATTTTCATCCTCAGGAGAGGGGAGAGGGGTTGAAACAACCGAGGTCATGACAAACAGGAAAGAAGGGCAAAAGACAAAGGGGAAGAGACATCAAGAGCTTCTCTTTTTATCTGATCCACAGCAGCAATGGCAAACATTTCAAGTTAACCTTGATTAGTGTTGCGGTACTGTTAATATTAGGTCCATTTTTGACCTACCTTACTGTAGGTAACATGTGGCCGCACCAGAAAACCTCTTGTAGAGCTGAAACTGATAACAAATTAGCGACACAAAAAAATTGTTGAAGACTTACAATTCCCTCAAAATAACTGGCATGTTGTGAACTATAAATAGAACCTCACACCTAAAACAACTGCAGATTGCCATCCACGCCCACCTCATTCAGCTCATCTTCTATTCTGATACTCTCCACATTCACTAAGTTCTCCAATCCTTTAAGAAGAATAAAAGTGAGCACAAGGCCCAGTGCATTAACGCACAAGCTAGACTCACCCTGCTTGAGGCCTAGTAATATCTTCAAAGCAAGTCTAAAACAAGACACCAAAGTGTAGAAGACAGGTGATCTCCACAAAACGGGGAAAAAGTGGGAGAAGGACTCACCAGAAACACTCAACACCCTCAACACAATCATTGATTACAGAGGAAAAATATCCGATTGAGCTGTAGGATGCTTTGGATGTTGAGACGTACCCAATTCTAGAATATCCATGTGTTGGCTACATTCTCATGACTCTCAACATCACTAGGACTTGTGGGCATATGCAGGAGTTGAAGAGACATTTGCACAGGGGAGGTTGGGATACACTTGATGACATCACAATAGTATTGCCCAGTGGATTGCATGTCTTTACAGGGATACCAGTCTGGTCCGTATTAGAGATCTTTGAAGCCAGCACAAATGCATTAAGGCAATTTCATCAGGAAAAGAAGAAGCAGATAGACAAGTATCAATGCTTACTGAGAGAAGGTAATTTTGATCTTTTCACTATTGTGTGGTCTGCTGAACCCTGTTTTCAGGTTGTGATAGATATTGTGCTGGGCCAGGAAGGAAAATGATGGCGATAGCTAAAGTATAGAAAACACAGTGTCCCTGCTCAAAGCTAAAGGTTTAGGATAGAATACATCTATTAATCAGTACATAGCAACCTTTACTAGTAGATTTATATTCAAACAACAAAAAATAGAATCTGTCCACAATACAGAGAGATTAGCCTATAGTTGAGGACTTGGATGTTACATACCATCAAGTTGGAATTGAGGAGGTGATTCTCACAGATAAACACAATAGCATCCCACATAACCATGATCCGCAACCTTGGGCGTATATGTTGACCTAGAGAAAGACTCAAGATGCAAGAAGATCAGTAGTAGTACTAGTAAGCCCAGAACTTAGACATTGCAATATTGGGTTTACTACCGTGGCTGTGATGAACATGATAATATCACTCTGATAGCAGAAATCAATGAACACACTAATGAGTGCATGTGTTCTGTGCTACTACACTGGCAGTCCTTCATAGCACTGATAGCCTGGGTAGATTACACGATTCAGAGAAAGCATGGTGTTGCAGACTCTAGATTCAAGTTGCTGAGTGATTGCCAATGTCTAGCTTGGACTTGCAATTGTATTAATGGCACTGGAGAACGGTCTGCATTATTTTAACAGCTGGACTGATATAAGCGAGCCCTGCAAACAATTGCTTTGAAAAATTAGCACAAAGGAACTTTGCTGGAAAATCATTTAACACCCAAGTTGGACTCCAATTTGCTGGTGAGCTGATTCAACCTCTACCTTTACCCTGATATCTCTGCTCCAATCATTTATATCAAGGACTACTCATTCCCAGTTCAGACTGGCACATACTCCAGTCCCAGAGCTCAAAGATAATCCTGCTTGTATTATGGGACACTTCTCGTATTGGAATCCTCCCACTTTTTTGGTGAGTATCATCTCTTTGAACTGTTGAAATATTGATCTAGCTGTCACAATAACTTTTCCAGCCCACTACTATAGAATATTCTCAAGTTCATCACACTATACTAGCCAAAAGTCACCTTTAACTCCAACCTCCCCAAGTTCAAGTTCATTCTCCATGGGTCCTTTTGGTGACGACACTCAACACGTCACTACATATATGGTAAGACTTATCTATACGCTCATGCTTCATTACATCTGACTATCACATTAAAAAACAGATTCAAAGGTGATCTTACAGCATAAACTCAATATCAGACGTGTAGAGAGGACAATCCTGTGGACCCATGAGTACCTTGCAAAATTATGCCTACACCATCTTCTACTTCTATGTGCATTATTGAAACAAGAAGCACTATGAGCTGCATCAGGTGCTCTGCAACAGAAGCCCAAATAGCAGAAATTTGTACTGTGATGGATGAAGCTAGAATCAATGCAAGCAATGTGAGGCCTGTCAATATATCAGATATACAGTATATCTTCAAAGCTACTGATGAAGAACTTTTTGGCGAAGGAGCAGGCATTGTACTTACAAGAATGGAGTTGGAGGACTTATGGATAAGATCAAGACAATTCACATAGTTCTATTAAAAATCTGCCTTAGTTATAATAATATGTCTGTTGATATGTGGTGAAACTGAGATTGTGCATGAGCACTCAGTAAACTGAATAAATGACAACAAAAGAACAAGATACCTGTAGCGCACCAGCAGCAACCAATATGTCATGTTCATTATATAGGGGTGGTTCAACATATGTACTGGGCATATGCATGGACTCTTGTTGAGGGTAGTCTTTGCCCATAATATGGTCATTGACTACGTGATGCTGATGGTGGTTGATGATGTTGAGATTAGTGATCAACAATCAACACAAAAGAAAGATATCCTAACACACACTCTCTTGATTTAGGTCCATATTGTAAACTGCCGATTCCTGGTTTATATGACTATCTAAAAATGCCTTGCTAGCGCAGAGGTTTGGGAATTCTTGTTGAGGTACCCAATCTTGATGCGCATTCCAATCTAAGGAGACACTGATGTTATTATTGCAGTCCTGAAGCACCAAGGCATGTTTGAAATCAGTCTGAGCATCAACTATTGTGATATCCAAATCATCTGAAAGACACTGAGGTTGTGCAATATAAATCATAAGTTTACCATAACTTGGGCTACTATTGGCGGTCATCCCTGAAGTAGTCTATCCAGGCCAAATTGAGCATTTACTGTAGCTTGAGTAAGTTTGACCCCAAACTTGAAAGCCATTGGTATAGCCTGAGGGAGTAGCAGATCCATGGATAGTGCAAGACTCTGTTGAATGGACGATATATCCTGAACTTAAATCAGGTCTACAGGCCATACAACCAGCCTGAGATTGGTGAGAGTCAAAGTGACATTGATGCCAACGCCTGCTAATGCTGGGCTGTACAGATTCTGGTTCTGTTTGGCTGGTAATTGACAAAACCGGATAAACCCGGTCTCTGCCAAAGCAGCCATTGTTCTCCATGGAGCATAGCCACCACTCCATGGAGTAACTATTGTACTCCTAGGAGTCATTATACTGTAGCGAGTAGCACCTCCAACTATAAGTAGTAGGGGGTTTAGTATAGGAATACCTCAGTCGTTTCTATAGCCTCTTGGGCAGCGGCTGAGTTTCACTTAGGTTTATTAGTAATAGACTGCGTTGGCCAAGCTGGCTCAGATCTCTGAGCTGGAACAACTTTCATGTCCCAACTTCACTGGCACAGCCAAACCTGAATCAGAGTATTGCAACCTTGCTGGCAGGATAATTTGAAGGCACAACCTGAGAGAGAGACTTGGCGACATCAGTGAATAAGGTTTTCCATCCATTATCATGATGTGGTCCCACTGTCTGGCTAGAATCATAGCTGTAACCCTTACCAAACTTTATAATTCAATTTCTGACACCAAACTTTGCACTACAACAATACAGACCATTCACCTGACACCGGATACATAAAGGGTCAGCGGATAACATTTTGCTATAGTGTGGGCAATTTGTAGATATTTGCAGATTTTTTTGAGGAACCAACTGTCAATGACTGGACATTAGCCTGCCCAAGCAAATGGCACAGTGGTTGGGTGTGGACCTTATCAAATTCCGCTCAGTTCAGTAGCTCTACAAGACTCGATGATCAGATACTGCCAGGCACTAAAACTACACTAGAATGGTCAAACACAGACCTGCATTAGAGCGGCCTGGTGAAACCCACCCAAGCAAGCGGCTTCTCTTCAGTTGCAACATCCCAGAGCTCCAAACAACCACCATGATAACTCATAATTGTTGTCTGATTAAATCCATTGCAGCTATATAAGAAAGTGAGTCCATCATTTTCATGTTGTCATAACACAAACAATCACCTTGCAATTCACTTCATCATTGGCAACCCAATGTATCCTCAGGATGTCGAGAGTGACTTGGAATATGCACACATGCAGCACCCAGAGTGCCCCAACATTGCTGAATCTTCTGACACTGCAGCTTTTGCTAGGGCAGCAAACTTATTTCATTCTTTGCAACACCAGCCTTCAGAAACAGTGTCCCATCACTTTGCTTGGTTCTAATTGTGAGTACAGTTTAATATTACATCAGTTTTACTCTAAAATATATACTGTTGTTGTTGTTTAGGATGGAACACAAAATCAGTGTTGCTCTAGGTGCAGGTTTTTGCAGAAGCAAAAATCTGCTGCTGATGGCTCAAGTGGTGGGTGCTCATAGTTTTTTCTGGGTGTACTGGGCTAATGTTTGACCGCAGATTATGAGAATGCTGTTGCCTTGAATTAACTGACACGTACCAATGACAAACTCTTACAGACTCAAAATGAAGCCCTGCATAAGGAACTAAACTACATACATAGTCAGATAAGCACTTATAGGAAGGGGGCTCACATGTGGGAAGTTTGTTGGGCTGAAGAGGCTTGTCAATGTGATCTCATGCAGTGTTACATCTCAGAGGAAGACCTAAGTAAATGCATACTGTCTTCTCAGTTAGATCTCACTTGCTATAAACCAGCCAAATTACGCCATAGAGATCATTGGTCTACCTTCTCATCCAATTCTTAATAGCTCAAATCATTGTGTGTATTGTACAAAATAAGAATTACTCACCTGATACTGTATCTCAAAATCCCTCTAATTGGGTATTTCCCTTTATATGGTAATTAGCATCCATACCTTTGCGATTATTGATGGGAAGTAAATACAATATTTTACAGCATATAACAGTCAGAAGAGAGCTTGAGGTAAACCACTGCAACTGCAAACAAAACAGTCATTATGGCAATTTACAATAGAGAATATTTGAAGGGCTCTTCCCGAGTTTCATATTTCTCTACTAGTTCTCCAACACTATCTTTGATGACCAGAATTTCAAGTCCTCAGGCTCATAGCAGTGATAACAGAATTAAGTGCGCACAATGAGAACACACCATCAGCCCATCAGGTCCGGGTGATATTGAGTGTTGTCACAGTTGACAGTGTCCCCTCTGCACTATACCCTGCCAAAGAAGTACGTCCAGCTCAGACCACACAATATGGTGTTATGCCTGTTGTGAACCAACTTACGGTGAATTACAAAATGGATCATTGTCAGCACCCAACATAGGTAGCTATTTTCAACAAAGCAGCAGCATTTTTTGCACCTAACACCCAGGGCCTTGTCCCAGGTCAAATTGTGACAGGAAAAGAGGTACGTCATTAATAAAAATCTATTCTGTCAACAGTGTGCTCACCAATCATCTGCCTGTCTTTTCTTTTGACCTAGATTACTTTCAAGAATGTTGAATATTTGGAACCCCACAGTATTTTGAAAAAGCTAGGGAGAAAGGATACACTTTCAATTAGGTATGAATCTATTGATAGCAATTTTCACTGTGAACTTACCCGGTATAAATAGGTACTATTGGGATGTTATCTCAAAGATTTTGATTATGTTTGGTCCACCCTCTTCTATACACAAGGCATCCACTGAACATCTGTGCAACTGTTTTTTAAAAGCCATGGGGGTGCAGGACGCAAGTGTGGGAACAGATAACATATCCAACCCTATGTCCATGTGGGATGTAAGCACGGCTGAAAGCTTTAAGGTACAGAGCAATGAGACCAGTGACAACAGGCCAAATATCAGTATTGAACGCCCTCAGATTGGCCTTATATTTCCAGTAGAGACATACTTTACCAAGACCTAAAACAGCGCCTGAGCCCGTATTGCAAATCATATATTAATTCCATCTGTTGTAGGAGCGATGATCATAGACATTAAAGAACATGGATACGCATCACCTACATCCAATCATGCTATTGCTTGAGCTTTTTCACTTCCCTCACGTAAACAATGGTTCACCACTTGTAAGGAATATAGTTGTTCTGATCCATTATTTGGGTACAACTACAAGTGGGTGGGCCACTTCATGTGCAATGTTGAAGTCTACATTAAAAATTGGGAAATGACAGTACATACTGCAGTATTTTGGTAACATTTGGTTGATGCTAAGGATACCACAGGCAGGTCAGCTGTTACCACAGGAGAGAAACTTAGCAGCTGTGAACAAGGCATTGCAGGAGGCTTGGTGTGCTATGGTAGACAAGGTCTACCCTGGGTTGGTGCCAGTACCGTTCTCAGTGAACTGGCAGTTTTTTAAGGAAGCTCTCAATAAGGGTGTCATTATAAATGCCTATCTTTGCTATACATCTTGGTATACTGAGCACAAGAGAGGCAGATATGAGGGCAATAATACTGAAAGCGGTGGCCTGGGAACTGATGCAGCAGGCAATAGTAGCGGGAACAATGCGAATGATGGTGGTTGATTTGTCTGCAAATGCCACGGTTAGGACTAGTGTTGCCACGGTCTCGGCTAAAATTGGCTTTGTAACCAAGCTGAACTATTGTGTCATGTGACTGAACTGAGCTATGACTGCTATGAATCACGTGGCTATAGATGGTTATCACATGATATTAGCTGGCTTGCAGGCCTAGCAAGCCTTTAGAAGGCTATGTCATAAAGTTTGTAATTATTTTCGCATTATAAAGCTCAGATATACCTTGACAAAAAATTTCCATTTTTAGTGATAAAATCTGACCTTTGGATCTACAATGATACAACGCTGGAACTTACTGCTCTAAGGAAGAGTGGCATCATTGGATACAAATAGTGAATGCATATTATGTATATTGTAGTGGTACTTCACTTATTTTAATTGTTTGCCTATAGCAGAACAAGCCTCCTGCGAAAATGGTTAAAGCACTGAGTTTCCTAATACAGTAGTGTTTGTTTGGCAATAGCTTCTAATCCAAGCAAACCGATTTTGAATCTCAGAAAAATCTTCAAGAGTAATTTGAAGTCACGATCAACCACAGGATATGGAAGTGGACCAAGATTTCCAGCGTATCAAACGCTTCAAAGTACGACACAGCCATATATTATATTCAAGTTGTTAACTTTAACTAACATAAATCTAGCATCAATCTTATAAACAATCTCTCAAAGAAGTTCATGTACCTTCGGCTCTCACCTTGTCAGAATTTGATCATGAACTTCAAGTGGGACATTCTAGTTGTCATATTTCTCCCCACTTATTAACATGGATATTCTATGATAGGATAATCAGTCGCATTTCTTTGAAACCCTCCAGCACTGGTGGCAACTCAATCTTTCCCCCGGATTCCCAAATTTGCAAAGAAGGCTAATCCGCTTTCCATGTTGATGCCCCTTTTGTTGCACAACTGGAAAGAAATTGTAGGTGTTTAAATAGAAACAGTAAAGGGCTTCAATGATGAAGCTTTAAAAGCCCTCCTTGAGTATGTGTGTTGACATACTATCCTATGCCCCCTTCTTAACTTGCTTTTAGTCTACTACAGAAACTAGCCCACGACCTCCATACCACAATTTCTCCCATTTATCATAATTTATTTCAGCTCCTTCTTGAGCTGCTATCTCGCTCTGTATCAGCTCCTGCTTTGACCTCACTCCTTGCTACACTGTCTGCACTCTTTAAATATTTACTCCTACCATCGGTCAAATTAGATCTCTTAAAAACATTGTGGGCCTCCATCCGTGCTGTTTTACCAAAATGTGATAATGAGGTACAATGGGCTACAGCTGAAGTTTGGGGGACAGTTCTACAAAGATTGAACACCACTGCACGAGAAAAAACAGTCACACTGATGGTGCAGAGTCTGATTGGCATTGAAGATGCTTGCATGTGGATTTTGGTATTTGCGTGCAAGGTACATATCACTTTTTTAGATGCGAGATAAATGAACTGACTCGTCTCTACAGTCTGTTTCACAAACACTGCATACTGTGACAGCGACAGTTATCACTCCCTTGCTTGCTTATCATTTAACACATGGTGCACCTGATGCTAACCATGCACTCTTTCATTGCGTGCTGACCGCTCTCATACATCACTGCAATCCAGCAGATCAATTTTCACCTCTGGCCGATCTCCTTGTCAAGCAATTTTGTGCTATCACAAAGTCAGTAAGCTTGGGTGAGACAGATGAAGAATAATTGTGTCATATGCTACAAACATTATCCGTCATTTGCTCTGTGCGTTAAGGCTTGAGGATACTCGATATGTTGCTTTCCACCGGAACTGGTCATGCTTTTCTCCTGCGCTCTCTTGAAGCACCTTCGCTTGGTATTTGCCTCTGTGGCATTCTCTCAGAACTCGGGTGGGGAGGATGGAAACTTGCTGGACTTCCTGCAGTCCTCAAAGCTACACCTGTGTTGCTGGAGCATGAACTGAAGCTGACTATACATCTTTTTGCTAGCTTGAAGAAGCAAGGGAAAATAAGCGATGTAGATGTGGTTTGTTTGGAGAAGGTGTGTAGAACAATGGGTTGTCCGCAGATTAGAAACATGGGAGAGTGAAAAGTGGCGGGTGGATGACTTGAGCGATATACTCAAGATATGCCGGTTTGTGGGCTGTTTGCCTCAACTCTTAGCTGGGATTGTCAATTCTTCACTCAATACACCTAAACCCAAAGCAAACTATGAGTCTACCTATGCAAATGCAGCATGAGTAGTTGGTTTATGCATGCGGACGATAGCATTGCACCATCCTTCACAGTGGATTGATACAGTAGATCTCGGGGTGTGGACAAAAAAGGTTATTGTAAACTGGAGTTGGTCGGAAAGTGTGCTGGAAGGATTGGTAGCGCTACTGCGAGCAAGGTACCTTATTTTTTCTCTGCTATTGCTCTGTGTACTGACAACAAACCTATAGTCCAACAAACAAACCAGTGTTTTCATTGTTAGAAATTTACACGCCTCTCAAAGCAGCCCTCATTTTGCATTCTCGTCTTCTCCGTCTTAATTTCCTCAGGATTTTGGCCTCTTCGCTCGTCAAGGCTTCACCCGGAGAGCAAGATATTGTTAAATGTTGTCTACAGGAAGGAGAAAAAGTATCTTTGGATGCCCATAGAGTGCGTGAATGTGTTCTGCACATCGGGAGGGCCAGTCAAGTAGTAAAGGATGGCGACCGGCTTGTTGTGGACCTTTGTGCAAGATGGCTTATTTGTGCAATTTCATCCATGCACCAGCCGTTATTAACTCTCACCCAGAAATTATAGCACAACTCAAAGTTAACCTTCGACCCCTGTGGTCCCCTGCTACTGAGGCATTGTCTTCACTCTCGCAGAGATTTGGCGACCAGGTCTGGAGTTTGATGTTTGACAAGCTTCTGTAACAACCAAGAGTTTGTTACTCTGGCGCACAACTAGAACCAACTATAGAGAGGATGATGAAGGAGTGGTTACCATTTAGGCTTCAACAAGTTAGTTGTGAGGATACAACAGGAGGACTCGCTGAGGAGTCTCCTTGATCTATTGGTCTATATATACTACTACAGGTTTGTTTGTACATATGTACTATACAGTTGATGAAGGCAATGGCTGATGATGTCAGAGGGTGCAGCCCGTGTAGCTTAAATAAGAAGAAAGGCAGCACAGCACGAGAAAGTGGAGTTTGAACAAAAGGGAAAGTGCCGCATGGCACAGAGCGTGAAAACTACAGTAAAAGGTTAAAGAGGAGAATGAAAATTAACGGTCCAAAAATGTGTTATCATAACACTACCCCTCCTCTAAGGCTCGACTTCCAGGCTCGACCAAGTACCGGAGGTAGTAGTTAGATTTTTGGGCATAGGTTGGAAAAGGGAATTAAAAAGTTTAGAATCCATGCCTCTAAGCTGCCTAGGAGCCAACGGATTTTTAGAATAAAATTTGCGAACAGCATTGCAGGAATTGTCCAGATGGGCTTCTGGTTCCCATGTTCTGTCCTTGTCTCCATAGCCCTTCCATAGGACTAGGAATTCTAATTTTCCACGCTTCAAGTGTGCATCCACCACTCGTTCGACTTTGAATTCTTCTTCACCTTCCTGGGTGACTACAACTGGTCTGGGCCGGTCCACGCGCTGTCCGGGCAGCAGCCCTTTGTAGGGTTTCACACGGCTAATATTGACCGTGGGTACTACCCTCATTCATTTTGGGAGTCCCAACTCCACTGCATTGGGTTTGACTTCCTTAATCCAGTAAGGCCCAATCCACTTCTCAGTCAGTTTTCTAGACTGCAGGTCTTTTAACTTTAAGTGGTCAGTGTCTAACCAGACCAGGTCGCCGACCTGGTAGTCAGGGGCCTTAGAGTGTCTACGCTCTGCCCTGTCTTTCATCTGCTCTGCAGTTTTAAATAGCGCCTTGCGCGTTTTGTCCAAGACAGACTTCATATCTTTGACCATGTTCTCAGCAGCTTTGTTCTTGCTTTTGCCAGGTTCTACACCCATTCTGGGAAGGTACAATCTTGTAACATCAAATGGTGCTTTTCCTGTAGCCGACAACTGTTTACTATTGTAACAGAACTGGGCTATCTTTAGCCACTTGACCCAATCCATCTGTCTATCATTGATAAATATACAGAGGTATTGCTTCAATTCCTGATTGAGCCTCTCCGTTTGTCCATCGGTCTGCGGATGGAACACCGTTGATAATTTAGGTTTGATGCCCAGCATCCAGCATAATTCTTTCGTAAATTTGCTAGCAAATTGTGGTCCCCTATCGGAGATAACCATTTCCGGCAATCCGTGGATAGACCATTCAAAATCTTTAAATAAATCTGCCGTACCAGCAGCAATAATGGTTTTGTTGGTGGGAATAAATACCACTTCTTTGGAGAAGCGATCTACTACCACCATCACTGAATCATAAACTTTTGACTCAGGTAGATCCGTTGTAAAGTCAACCAATATATCTTGCCAGGGACCAGCTGGTATCGGATTTGGCATAAGTTTTCCCGCCGGCGGTTGATGGGAGTTCTTTGCCATGGCACATCTCAGACAGGATTTTACGTATTCCTGTATGTCTTTGACCATGCCAGGCCACACATAGTTTCTGGAGATCAACTCCATTGCCACCCAGGGTGCCCAGCCACTGGAGTGTTGTGACGTCTGTCTATTGCCTTGATCCTTGCGGACTCAAACACATAGATTTTGTCTTTAAAATGGAAGAGCTCGTCTTCCCATAAATAGTTTTCATTGCCGTCAAGGCGTGCCTTCTCTTCTGAGGAGATGTCTTTCTTGAAGACTTCTAGAAGATCGGAATCCTGCCCAATTCTAACATTGGCAACCCTTGATTGGTCTATCAGGGTGACACCTTTGTTGTCATCTTTGATGCCGTGGGCATGATCCTCTATTCTGGACAAAGTGTCCACTTTCCCCGTAAAACTTCCCGGATTATGAATTAACTTGTAATTAAACCTAGACAAGTACACCGCATAGCGGGCCAGTGCTCTAGCGCTCTAATGATGGCCAGCATCTCCTTATCATAGATTTGATAGTTGCGCTCTGTAGGCAACAAACTATGTGATAAATAGGCACAAGGCATCCAAAGATTGTCAGGGCATTTAATTGATAGAACAGCCCCAGTAGCAAAATCAGAAGAGTTGGTTTCTAGCCGGAACTCTTTGTCTAATTCTGGAAATGCCAATATGGGCGCTATTGTAAATGCATGTTTAAGCTTATCAAAAGCTTCCTGTTCCTTGGTGCCCCAATGCCAAACAATGTCCTTTTTATTGAGATTGTTCAACAGTCTCGTTATTTTTGCGAAGTTTTCAACAAACCTTCGGTAGAAATTACCTAAGCCAAGGAAGGCCCTAACTCCTTTGATGCAAGTAGGTTCAGGCCAATCCAATATAGCTTGAACTTTCTCAGGATCCATCCTGATTCTGTTCTGGCCAATTATCATACCGAGGAAGTCTACTTCCTTCACATTGTCCAACTTTGTAAATATTAATAAATTGGCAATGTAAATGACGACACAGTTTTCCATATCCGCAAAGATCTTGTTCATCATGCTCTGGAAGGCCGCCGGTGAATTGGTCAACCCAAAGAACATAATGAGGGGCTCAAAGGATCCTCGGTAGCACGTGAACGTGGCCTTCCAAGCATCTTCTTCCTTGATACGTACATTATTGTACCCCCATCTGAGATCCATCTTTGTTAAGATCTTGGCACCAGCCAACTTGTCCACTAGCTGACTGATTAAAGGCAGTGGATACGTGTTTTTAACTGTGTACTCATTCAAGTAACAATAGTCCATAATCATGCGCTTCTTATCATCCTTTTTAGGAATGAAGAACACCGGGGATGTTATAGGGCTTTTGGAAGGTCTGATGTAACCCTTCCTAAGCTGTTTGTCTATGAAACTTGAAACCTCATCTCTTTCTGGAGCAGAGAAGGGAATCATGTGTCCCTTTTTTGGTTTGAACGTGTCCTTCAAATCTATTGCATGGTCCCAAGGCTTAGCCTCTGGGAAGTGCTCTGACTTATGTTTTGAAAAGACTTTCCAGAAGTCATGGTACTCATTGTTGTTGTCAATCTTTTCCAAAGATCTGAGTCCATAAACGTGACCAGCATCTATCTTTTCAAGGCGCTCAGTTTGACGGACGTGATATGGTTTACCCAAGTTTTTACACTCCTGAGGGCAATGTGACAATGTGACAACCCCTGTCTGCCAGTCAATCTCAGGATTGTGTTTAAATAGCCAGGTCCAGCCCAAGATTAAATTAATCTTCCCTAGTTGGGTAGCTTTGGCGGTGACTCGTTCTCTGTGTCCTTGGTACTCGACAACAAAAAAACATTTGTGCATAATGCAGCCACCTGCGTTAAGTGTACCATCAACATTATAGACGGGTATAGATACATCTAATTTTACAAGGGGGAGCCCAATTTGCTCCGCCCAAACCTGATCTATGAAGATGCCGTTAGTGCATGAATCAAGCAGTGCGCTGGTTGGGTGTACTGTGCTCCGGGCAAGGTTTTCCACACCAACATCTAAATGGATCTTTTTTTGGAATAAATATGTGCGCATTAACACATGCCTTGGGATTTCTGTGGAAAATGGCTCCAAAGAAGAAGAAGAAGAAATATCAAGAGAAACATGTTTTTCTATTTTATAATTTTCTATATTTTTATTTTTATTTTTACCAGAATCAAGCACCCTAGTGTTTGTCTTGCCGGGGCCACACTCCAGAGGAGACGGTGGTGCAGCGGTAGTATCATAAATATTACAGTTACAATTCTTCATACAAGTACATACTTCAGATAGCAAATTAAAAAAAATATTTACAAATGTGAGAGCCACCCCCTTTCCTTTATTGCTCGTGCAACACCCCGGAGCAGGGGCCATCTTGTTGTGGTTTACTTCATTTCTTCGAGGAGTGAAGGCACCCATGTGACCTAAGCTCCAAATTCTTTTCCCTGGGCTTTCATCTTGTTGACCTGTTGGTCATAGAAGAAAGCTCGGATTTCGTCATACGAATGACCGGCCAGAGTAGTGAGCCAATCATCTGGTTTCTCTGCTTCTAATTGGCGCGCCTGGCACCCTTGGTTATTTTTTTGGTGAGCAGTCTGCGCTCCATTTGTACAATTTTGGGCCATGTGCCCCTCCTCGCCACAGTTGTAGCAAGTGAATCTGCGCGTCTGTCCGCCCTGGACTGCGCCAATATCCATAGGAGCTCCCTGCCCTGGTTGCAACTCAAATGGTTGGAACCCGTGAGAGTGATTGTGTTTTTGGTTTGATGAGCCAGGGCTTCTCTGGGAATAGTTTGGTTTTGGTGGTGGTCCTGCCACCTTGATGCATTTTGTAGAGCTCTATGGCCCTACCTATTTTTTGAACCTCCTCCACTGCTTGGATGAGGTTCTCACTCCTCATATCCTGCAGATAAAGCTGTTCTGCAATGTGGGGGTTCACATTACGTTCCAGCAGTTCCACTGCATGTTTATTAACTTAGCCCCCTTGGATAGAGAGGGCCAGGAACCGGGTTACAAAATTGTCCATCCTCATGTTTCCTTGCTTGAAAGTACGGATCTGCTGGCATGCCAAGTCACGCTCAGCTTACGGTTTGAAATATTTTTCGATGTCAACTTTGAGATCATCCCAGACAGGCCACACTCCCATGGTGTAGCACTCCTGCATTCCAACTTGGGCATATTGACCCGCCACAGGTCCTTTTAGTCAAGATAGCACTGCAGTGGCTATCTCAAAGTCATTGGCAAACACGTCCCAGTTTGCCTTGACCCAAATCTGGAGCTTGATCCACCATTCGGCAAATTGTGCTCTATCTCCTTTGAAGGCACCAGGGTCAGCGACAACTTTGACTTTCTTCTTGAATTTCTCAACTGAGGGGGTTGCCGCAGGGGGGTGGGGCTGCAGCTCAGCAAGTTGCGTGGTCAATGCCAAGATCTGCTGCTGCATGTTGTGCAACAGAGTGTTGACATCGGTTTGGGGTTGCGACGACATGTCAACTTGTTCTCTTTGGTAATCTAATGTAAACAAACGTAACTGGGGGTCCCTGTTTGCTATCTGTGGATCTACCTCTTCCCAGCTGAGTATCGGATCTCAATCTCCGACTACCTACACTATAGTATTTGAAAATGTATATAAAAGTTATAGTATTGAACCCTAGTCCAAACAGTTGTCAGGGGGTGGTCCACTTGTTAAGCTGTCAACCCTTCTCCAGACTGGCAGAGGCAGTGCCCGGCCTGGTCAGAGGAAAACGAAGAGGAAGTTTTGTATTTAAATTTCTAATCAACAATAGTTCCACACTATTGCTGAGCTAAAGTACTCCCCTTAACACTGGGGGCCGTGTATCAATAATTATTGTCTCTTCTCCCAAAGCAATATAAGGCCATCGCTAGGAGCGCATCTATCTGCTATACAGGATATTCCCAAACAACAATACTATCATCTTAACCCTGGGGTCTGGGTTTGCACAACGTGCGAGAGAGTAAAAAGAGCGAGTCCTAATGTAACAACCAAGAGTTTGTTACTCTGGTGCACAACTAAAACCAACTATAGAGAGGATGATGAGGGAGTGGTTACCCGTTGGGCTTCAACAAGTTAGTTGTGAGGGTACAACAGGAGGACTCGCTGAGGAGTCTCCTTGATCTATTGGTTTATATATACTACTACAGGTTTGTTTGTACATATGTACTGTACAGTTGATAGAGGCAGTGGCTGATGATGTCATGGGGCCTAGCCCGTGTGACCAGCTCCACTGCGTAAGAGGCTTGTATCTAAAATAAGAAGAAAGGCAGTGCAGCACGAAAAAGAGGAGTTTAAACAAAAGGGAAAGTGCAACATGGCACAGAGTGTGAAAACTACAGTAAAAGGTTAAAGAGGAGAATGAAAATTAACAGTCCAAAAATGTGGTATCGTAACAGCTTCAGGCTGTTTCACGTAGTCAGTCTAGTGATAGCATGCGGGCTTGGATGCTTGACAACCAGAACGGAGTTGAGAACAGCATTGATGACCCATGGGAAGAGGAGCGGACTTGGAGAGATCCCAGTGCTCACAAAGTATGAAGTACCACTTCTGGTTGGCTCCGCAAAGATTATCAGTGTAGTGAAATCATCTGGGTAATTTCCTTTATATCAATTACAGCATTCAGGCTAACTTGTAAAACTACCTCTACATAGGTGCAACTTCTGAAAAATTGCATTGATAGTTCATCTTATGAATCTCAGCTGCTGTTCACCCTTGGTGAATGTAGCTCACTGGCAGAAAAACATAATTGAGACCTCATCCCTTTCTTTCTTTCCTTAACTGGTCTGGACACGTCCTCTCGGCTACCTTGGTATAAATTGACATCCTGGCTGACTTTATTCAGCAAATTCAGCAATCCAAAGGCTCTCTTGCTCTTCATTGTTATCCCCCTTAGTAGGGCCTTCACGTTTAAGTGAGGCAATTCATTCTTGAGCATGAAATATGATATCTAAGTGGTACCTAACAAAGCAGGCCAATAAGAGATAACGTGGGGCCCAAGGTTCTTCTGCTTGGGCTGTTTGCCTAATACCTTCTCTCAAACCCCTCTCTATTTGGGTAGAATTGGGGACCTTGTTTTAGGCAATGCTGGTTTGCAGTTATCTAGGTCCAGCTACGCAGAAGACCTTCCCAGAGGTTCAAATGATGGAGTTCATTCAGATCTCTCCTTTTCCACCATTCATTTACAGACGTTCTACAATCCTTCTATCCTTGCCAACACCAGTTACACAGCAGGCATAACCAACTTTTGTCACGCCCAAAATCAATGAAAAAGTCTGAAAGTAGTTAAAATGTTTAATTACATTTTGGACCTACAAGACTTTATCAGAATAATGTATTTTTGTTAACATATTTCTACATATTCACACAAAAACATAGTATTTATGGGAATATGTCAACAAAAAGACATCATTTTGTAGGTCCAAAATGCATTCAAATATTTCAGCTACTTTCAGAATTTTCCATCAATTATGAGTATGACAAAAGTTGGTTATGCTTGCTGTGTTATCCTGTTCCTCGTAACTATCGAGAAAACATACAATGGACTCAGCATCAAAGGTGTATCATAAAAGATAAAAGCATCACTGTGCATAGTACAGAAGAATTAGAACAACTTGTAAGTTTAATTCCACATTACAGCCACTTTCTATCTATACTGATTTTATATGTAGATCCAGTCATTCTATCCAAACGGTCAAAAAATGCCTAATTCCTTTATTACTATTCCAGAGGGCACAATTGCCAGGTGAGTTTTGTATTTTTGCTTGTTGAATAACAACTTTTAAGAAATATGTTTGAAGTAGTGCACTAGATTTGTGCAATGTTGATGGCACACTACTAGCCTTTGTATGCACTTCTATGCCAAATTATCTGCGTGCCAATCTGCAGGAGCTTTTAGAGCTCTCATTTGATACTGAAGGGATACAGCAACTTATTCACCAGTCTGGTAGCTCTTCTAAAGAGGCAGCACCTTTACAAAGCCTGCATTTTTCAAGTTATAATCGCTATACTACTAAGGTTGGCTTTTGTTGAAATACTTTCAAGTGGTTTTATGCTTATTTTATTTCTTTGTTTAAGGGAAAAGATGCACTTCAGTCACCCCCAAAACATAAGCATTTAGCTTCAACTATCTGTGTAAATGTATAAAGCTAAGAGCTTGTTTTTCCTGGTATCATCCCAAGTGCTCCAGCAAGGATGGGATCATCCCAGAAGCGGAATAATACCACCCTTCTGGGATTTTCCCATGGTATCAGACCATGTACCATAGTGGGATTATCCCTCAGATGGGATAATCCCAATAACCTGTCACATGTCACATGGTATCAGGGGGATTGGTGCTAATACTAACATGTGAGAATGCTGGGCCAACTAGTGAAGATATTTCCAGTCTTTTCCACCTGAATAATGGTACTTTAGCCCAATATAATCAAGACTATTTTGAAATATATGAGTTACAAGTTCCTCATTGTAGCTTACTGCAAATTTGGGGAGAAGCATTCCCTTTTTTTTAAATGTGGAACATTATCAATTTCTAGATATAATCAATTGCAGGAACCATACACTAGAAAGATGCTGTTGTCCTTGCTGATAGATGTGATATGTGAGTTCTGCTTTTTTGCAAGGTTTATTATACCCTTAATTGAAGTAAAAACTAGGAAACACAACACAAATGCTGTGACAACAAAGTAATCTGCAGAAGGACATCGAATATTAGATTTACACTAGATCTGGCATATTCTGTGAGGAAAATCCTGACCTTGTAGAAAGTAAAACATAGTAAAAAGAAACATAAAGTCATGTTCTTGCAAAAACATGAATTTACCACTTTTGTGGCACTACCAAGGTATTTGATACCTTATATTGTACATTCTCTGAGAGTGGTTCCTGGGGGCTGCTGGCTGAAGGTCTATGGGGAGAGGGGGATGCTTGCTATGTACAGTATAATACACAAGATCTCCATTTTGATACTCCTACACTAGATGACTTGAGTGTGAGGATTAATTAGGCACTGCTTAGGTATTTAATACCTTGAGTTGTGCCATTTCTGGGAGCTACCAGCTGAAGGTCTAAGGGGTGACTGGTGCCTATATGCTGACTGTGTATAGTACAGTATCTAAGTCCACAAAGAATCTGAGTGCTGTAAAGGTATTCTTTTTTTAGATTCTTGAGAAATTGAAATGAATCCGGAAAATATTTTTTCATGCCAAGTAAGGTTTCTGCCAACATTCTCTGTCTCTCATATGATAGTGATGCTGTCTCACACCACTCTTTTTGGATTATCATTTTTATGGCAATATGTAGAACTCAGGTAATTTCCTTCAAAACTGATTCTGACCATTGACATTGCCCAACTTTTGATTTTTTTTACTGAGGATCATCCCACACTGATCTGGACAAATCCCTGAAATAGGGTGTGATCATCCCAGTTAAATCTGTACATGTCCCCACGTAACATGGGGTTACCCACTTCTCACATGGACAAATACCAGAAGGGGGTGGGATCATCCCAGTTCAATATGGACAAATACCATAAAGGGATGGGATGATCCCAGCTCAATGTGGACAAATACCACAAGAGGATGGGATAATCCCAAGCCAATCTGGGATGATCCCAAACCAATCTGGGAAAATCCCAGTTAAGCATGGACAAATACCAAATGAGATGGGATGATCCCAAACCAATATGGGAAAATCCCAGCAAGAGATGGGATGATCCCAGTTAAGCATGGACAAATACCAAAAGAGGATGGGATGATCCCAATTGAATCTGGGAAAATCCCAGCAAGAGATGGGATGATACCAGTTTAACATGGACAAATACCAAAATAGGATGGGATGATCCCAATTGAATCTGGGAAAATCCCAGCTTAACATGGACAAATACCAAAGAGGATGGGATGATCCCAATCCACTCTGGGAAAATCCCAGCCAGAGATGGGATGATCCCAGCTCAACATGGACAAATACCAAAAGAGGACGGGATGATCCCAAACCAATCTGGGAAAATCCCACCAAAGGATGGGATGATCCCAGTTAAGCATGGACAAATACTAAATAAGATGGGATGATCCCAGCTTAACATGGACTAATACCAAAAGAGGATGGGATGATCCCAAACCAATCTGGGAAAATCCCAACAAGAGATAGGATGATCCCAGTTAAACATGGACAAATACCAAATGAGATGGGACAATCCCAGCTCAACATGGACAGATACCAAAAGAGGATGGGATGATCCCAAACCAATCTGGGAAAATCCCAACAAGAGATAGGATGATCCCAGTTAAACATGGACAAATACCAAATGAGATGGGACAATCCCAGCTCAACATGGACAGATACCAAAAGAGGATGGGATGATCCCAATCTACTCTGGGAAAATCCCAGCCAGAGATGGGATGATCCCAGCTCAACATGGACAAATACCAAAAGAGGATGGGATGATCCCAAATCAATCTGGGAAAATCTCAGTTCAA